ATGGGTGAGAGCAGGTGAGAATGAAGAGGTCAATTCCATGGCCAGTGACTATGGGGCCAGTCTAAATGAACCAAAGGAAGGAGAGAGAGATCATCTCTGAACCAGGAGATAAGGAGGCAGACAGGGAGACCAGCATAGGACACCAAAGCTGAGGGCTGAACAGAAGTGCAACAAAGGGCAGACAAGTCAAGGAGGACGTGTGCAGCTGGGAAGGGAGGCACTGGTTAACTGAGAAGAAATTTGCCAGATGCGTGGTTTGGACTCTGGAATGCCTCTCCAGCTCCCTCTGCAGCTGAGGGCAGGGCCTTGTGGGACCAGGCTCAAGCAGCTGACTCCTCCTGCATCTCAGGTCCTCCTCCTGTGCAGTGACAGCCCCTTCCTTGGGTTTCAGAGTCTGGGGCTGGCAATGAGTACACCTGGGTTCTAGTCTGAGCCCCACCACTGACCATTCATGTGACTCCACAAAGTTCACACTCTCTCAGTTTTTTTCATAAAAATGAAAATTATTTACTGATGGTCCTCAACTCATAGAATGAGATGAGGATAATATTAAATTATAAAAGTCAAAGCAGCACTCTGAATCTATATTCTGGCCTTGGTTAAAGCATGGTGCACATAGACCAGTTCAGGTCATTACTCCAGGATATTAACAATGGCAGTCACACTAACCCTTACACAGAACTTACTGTGCTACTCTTAGTAACTTAATATTTGTGAGATTCTTAGAGTAACCCTCACAACAACCTATGGGGTGAGTACTATTACTGCCCCCAACTCGCAGAGGAAACCAAAGCACACACATATGAGATAACCTGTCCAAGCCACGCAGTAGGCAGTGGACCTGGGTACAAGCCCAGGAAGTGTGGCTTCAGAGCTGCTGCTCTTCACCACTGTGTGACAGTGCTTCCTGCTAAAGGACAAGAGAAGCCCACAACCCACGCTCCCGGGGTCCAGGAACACAGACCATGGTATAGACACATCTAACTACATGCAAAACCAAAATGGAAAACTCTAGATTTGCGAGGCAGATAAAATGGATGGGGCATGGGCTTGAAAAACCATTCTACGTATGCCAAAAAGCCAAAAATTAAAAACAAAACAAAACTTAAAAGAACTTGAGGCAGAATCCCATTTGACAGCAAGCTCGCTAATATGTTTAAAAGATTTAATTTACCAGAAAGAGTTAACACTGACCTTTTTAGAAGATCAATAGTTACTCGGTTCTAGGTCCCCCTTTATTACAAATACAAAGTAAAATCTTAAGGAGACAAGATACCAAGGTCTGAGTATTAGATGTTTACAGGAATGAGTCATGCCTCTTTGTATTCATACCTTGTACAGCTCCTTCTCATATCTGTTCTACATTTGGTATATGACTTGCTTTAGCCATGAGACAGCAACACCCATGATGCAAAAAGGGCTTGAAAAGCACTTGTACATTGAGCTTTGCTCTTGCAACACCCCGCCCATATTGAGAGGCCCATGCTAGCCTATTGGAGACGTGTAGTTCAGTCAACAACCAGTACCAACCACCAGACATATAAGCAAGGCCATCTCAGGTCACCCAGCCCCAGATGAACCTCCAAATCACCGTGGCTGCACGAGCAACCCAAGGCGAGACTAGCAGAAGAACCATCCAGAGAGCCTTGCCCCAACACGGACGTAAAGAATTGTAAACAAAATATTTGTTCTTTCAAGCCACTAATTTTGGGGGTGGATTATTACACAGCAAAGCTAGTTGACAGAGTCCAAGTCTAAGGCATTTCATGGAAATAACAAGGATTTGCGACGATGTGGAGAAAAAAGAAACTTGTACACCATTGGTAAGCATGTAAATTGGTGCAGCCACTACGGAAAATAGTATAGAGATTCCTCAAAAAAACTAAAAATAGAACTACCATATGATCCAGCAATTCCACTGCTAGATATTTATCCAAAGACAACAAAAACACAAACTTGAAAAGATATATGAACCCCTCTGTTCACTACAGCATTATTTACAATAGCCAAGATATGGAAACAACCTAAGTGTCCATGGACAGATGGAGACAGAAACTGTCTCTGTCTCTGTCTCTGTCTCTGTCTCTGTCTCTCTCTCTCTCTCTCTCACACACACACACACACACGCACACACACACACACACACACAGACACAATGGAATATTATTTATCCATTAAAAAGAATGAAATCTTGCCATGTGTAACAACATGGATGGGCCTCAAGGGCACTATGCTAAGTGAAATGAGTTAGACAGAGTAAAATGAATACTGTATGATCTCTTTATATGTGGAATCTAAAAACAAAAACAACATCAAAAACAACCTCAGAGAGAGAGAACAGATCCGGGGCTGCCCAAAGAGGGAGGAGGTGGGGGCCAGGAGAAACGGTGAACCATTTTTGTTGTTGTTGCTGTTGTTACTGGTTTAAATAAAATCAACAAATAAACCGATAAATAAAATCTAGACTGGATCACTGTGCATTTTCAGCATATTCTGTGTCAGGTTATAAAGATGAATCCTCTAAAATGAGAGACAACAATTATTTAGCAAATTCACATGAAGCATGAATCTTAGTAGAATCTAACCTAATTAGGCTAACCAGGCAATCTGCCAGTCATCAGTATTTACTCAATATCTCTTCAACTGTCAGTGGTAATGGAAGAAAGCAATGTTATCACCTACCTATTTTAGACACACAGGTATCCAACAAATACTTGCCATCAATCGATTAATATACAAATCAGTGCTTGATCAAAAAAAAAATCTCACCCACTAATTCATCTGCAGACTGAGCCTGCATGAAATGACATTGTCTCACAGTTGGTGTTCCCTTCTTTTAACTGTTTTGCTTAGGCTGGTGCTGAAATGAGCTTGCATTTCTCAGTATGCACCAGTCAATGCTACAGAGAAGAGGCCAAGAAGTGTGCTGAGTGAGAAGAGGAGCTGAGTTTGGGGTTAGCGTTTGCAGGGCATTTGCTGTACAGTCCTTGTGGCTTCGTCGGTGGGCTGTTAGCGAAACCCTTCTCACTGCACCATTTCTTCTGTTGCCTTCTTGACCATACCCAGGGCAGAGGCAGCTGATTCTGCAGCCATGCAGAAAATGTCTTTGCTCACATCACCATAGTCTGATTCTAACATACAAACAAGTTTTTCACACATTCCTCTTGCTCAGTTCTCCTAATAGGCAAGTGAAAGCTGTCATGTCACACACACACAAATAGGAAAGAGGTTTTTAGACAATTACTTGACGATGACTACACTGCTAACCATGATCAAGCTGACTCATGAACCCAAGTCCAACAACTCTAATCCTTTCAGGGTCATGGTACACAGGATGTGAGGACTGAGGCCCACAGGAGAAACCATACCATCCAAATTCTAGTCTAATCATCTTTCTATTATTAATTTACTTGAGGATATTATCCAACTGATCATCTCGAACAGCCAATGAAGCCATAAGACACTGACTATAATAATTTTTCAAATGATGACTGGGAAACTTGGTTGACCAAAGGATAAGAGAGGAAAAAATCCATCAATATTTCATGATGAGGATGACATTTACCTGTAGGCCTTCTTCTTCTAAGAACATGCCAATTAATAATGACCACAAATAGCATATTTTACTGATTAATGAAACTATCAACTTACCACTTGAAGTATAAACAGTGGCTAATAAACAATTTTGCAAATCATTATTAAAGCTGACAGAAACATATAGGTTACTTTTAACATATGCATCTGCCTTGATTTCATTTTATCTTCTAGGAGAAGATGCCCTGATCCCTTTCCCGTTCACGTGACAATGAACAAGTGACGAAGCCACGCCTGGTCTCAAAGTCTCCAGCAATAAAACAAGGTGATTGGACTTCAACTCTGAAGCAACACAGTAAAATGATAAGAACCCCGGATCCAGGCCCAGGGGAGACTAAATTCTGTACCCAGCATCTTGTGAAGTGTCTGGCAGTGGGCCTGTACTTAACCTCTTTCCTCATCTAGGTAAACCTGAAGACACACCCCTCTCAAAGGGTTTGGTAAGAATGAAAAACAATGCACTTAGAGTTCTCTAGCACAGAGTCTGGCCCACAGGCGTGCTCAGAAAGGTCAGCTGATGATAGTGATTCCTTCATCCCACAATCCTTTATTGACCCTTGACTCTGTGCCAGATGTTATTCTAGGTGTGAAGGACACAGGAGTTAATAAAACCAACCAAACTTCCTGCCTAAGCCAGCTGGCACTAGGGAGGCACCGAGATGCACAACTCAAGTCTGGAGGCGCCCTGTGCCTGACACTGCTTAAGGCCCTGACTCCACTCCCAGCCTCACTACAGAGCGCAGAGTCACCTCCCAGGCTGCTGGAGCCTCACCGGCTTAAGAAGCCGCAGACCAGAATGGCTCTCCTAGGCCTCTCTCATCGTCCTGGTACCATCAGCACCACGGAGGGCAGAGCTAGGCGTGGGCTTCACACTGATCCTCCACCTTAGCCTCTTCCCCCTTCTCTTTAGCCAGGAGTGTTCCCCCAAGTCTGCGCCAGAGCCTTCAGGAAACCCCCGTGAATGCCAAGGTTGCTTAGCGGCACTAACCCCTACTTCCCACCAGAGGTCGCCCTCCCACACAAGCCCAAAGTGAAAAGAACCCGGCTTTGCCTTCTCGGCAGCAGTGACATTATTTTCTTTCTCTATTTTTATCTATTAAAAAGATTTCTTCACAGCCATAACTTAGATCTCTACACTAAAATGGAGCAACAGGAAGATATAATGGTGCATTTCATTTATGAATGACCTATAATAAATTACTCTGAAGTGTCCCCAGTGCCAGGAGACAGAACGCTTTGTCTGCCCACGGACTGTATTTCACATAACTTTAATTTAGCTGACACATAAAACTCATTTGACATTTTGCAGGTATTTTGTGGGGGAGGTGCGCGGTGGGGGGGTGCTGCGGGAGGGGACCACTGCGGGGCTGGGCAGGGAGTGGGGGCAGCAGCAGAGCCAAGGATATTTGGTTCTTGTTGAGGGTTAAGGTATGGAGCCGGGGTAACCCTGGCAACACGAGGTCGTTCCCGAGCAGATTGTTGTCCAAGATGAGTTCCTCCAGGCTCCCGAACGCGCTCAGTCCTTCCAGTGACCTGCAATGACAAAGGCAACAGGAAAAATGATCCTGCACTAAATCAGGGAGGCCATTATGAGCCGAAATAAATATTTTAACCTTCCCTTTCAGGACTGGGAATAGTTTGGGCTTGGTGCCTGTCAGCAAAGTGAATGACAAGAATTAGTAGCGGGAGCCGGGGCGGGGGCGGCGGGGGAGAAGGGGCCGCTGGCACTCACCGCATCCTTCACGCATTGCCAACATGAAGGATGAGGGTCACTTAGTGAGTAGCCAGGATCCAAAACAAAGGGCTTCAGATACGGCCCGCAGGATAAATTTGTCAATGTCTTGTGCCTTCAGGCACCCAGCCTCGGCTGACCCTAACCTCCATTCCCAAGATAAATAACTCTGTCACAGTTCACCTTCATTCCCTGGACACAAATTTAAGTTGTCATCCATCATTCCTGCCCAGAAATATCATACCCCTCTTACAATAATAAATATAACTTCAAGTATCATTTCTTAGTGGTTCTCCTCTGCACAGTCCTAGGAAACGCAGAGGAAAGCTTCCTTTTTCTCTGCATTCACTGCCTTTGACTTTTATCCCCTCCGCTTTTTTTTTTTTCTTTTCCCCTTTTCTTTACTAATCACTTAATTTGCTTCTGCCCAGTGTCCCTGTGGCGGCCCCAAAAGGCAAGGCATCCATGGAAGCACGTAATCACTCCAGTCTGAGAGGCCATTTCTTTTTCTTTCCTGATTTCTTTGTATTTGTTTTTGTTTAGGGGGTGAGGTAAGGAGGCGGTTGGCGGAAGTTCTGCCTCAAGACTCTTGGCTTGAAGTTTACTGTTTTAATGTATGGAAAGTGGATTTCTCACTTTATTTTTGAAACAAGTGTCAAACGCAGCAATGTTCGATGTCGAGGCAGTAAATAAACAGGCATCTGAAAGAATTAAGCACCGGCTCAGGGAAAAAAGTAAAAAGAGCCTTGTTAACAGACGTAGCTGAGCGGCTAAAAGTTAACTCAGCGTTAGGGGCGCAGGGGTGTTGGGGTTGGAAGCCGTGAGGCGCAGCGGTGCGCATGCGCCTGCCCGGGTGCACGCAGACGTTAATTAAGGAAAGCCGCCCGGTGGAGGGACTCGCACGAAACACACTCCCAGCTCGTTCACCTGCCAGACCCAAGAGCTGTGCTGAGCTTGCACAGGCTGACAGCTGAGCTACGACGTTGACCAGAGCGTGGACTCACTCGGGATCTCCTGGCTGTTCTATAAAATGTAACCAATCGGGGAGATGTTGTCTGCACTATTTATGCATTTACTGATAGCTGGTCCATTACAGACCCTCCTGCTTGCGTGTGCAGCGCTTGTCCCTGTGATGTGAGTGTGAACTTTAGCACCACACCTTTCTGGAGACATCCATCTCTTCCTTGTGGGGCCCGTGCCAAAAGGACTCCAAAATAGGGAGGCAATACTTGAGAAGCAAAAGATGTATTATGAAGAAGCAGTGAAATCCCCAGATGCCCTTGGGCCCAGAGCTCCACCAGCAGCCCCATTCCTGCCCCTAAACCCCCAGGTGGTCCCACCCAGGGCCCAGCACACAGGCCCCACCCAACCCTATAGCTCCCATACCTGCCCCACAGCAGGGGGGCAATACCAAATACATCTGGGGTCAGGGATCAATGGGTCATCAGGTTTCACTTCCTCCTCCTCCTCGTGTTTCAGGAAGACAAAACACAATTTATACACAGGCGGTCAGGAAGGCCTGGGATTCTACCTCTGCTCCATCACTTACTTGCAGTGTGAATTCGGGCAACCCAATAACCCACCTGAACTCCCTTCTTCTATATTGCCTCCAAGCTCACACAATGTTATGGAGAATAAGTGAGTAAGAACTAACAAGTTACTAGTAAGAAATGGTTTCTTTCTTTTCACTCCTTTCATTCATTAATTTTTTTCTGGAAGCCCTGACCTGGGGTGCAGGTTTGGGGTTCAGGATGCAGAGGGTGGGCAGAGGGGGAAGAGCAGTGTAAGTCTGGCTTCTGCAAGGAAACTTCAGCCTTTCCTGAAGTCCCTCCCTTCGTGGGGGTTAGTGAGTGCTGATCCCAAAGTGCTTTTCAGGACTGGACCCTGTTTACTCAAGGGGAGTCAAGGTCACCTCCCCATCAGGGCACCTTATGGGTGACTAATAAGTCCTTTGGGTACAAACATCAGCTGGGCTCTGGTCAAAGGCGGCATCCAAATACAAATTGTTCCCAACTGACGTTATGCAAATATAATACTCTTATCATGAGAATCAGCAAATGGTTGGCAACTGGCAAGCAGAAGAAAGCTCCCTTCCAAGAGTGCTTCAGGGGAGGCATCAAACAAAATGACACAGCATGGAGAGGGACAGAGTGGAACCCTAGAAGGCTTGCCCCCAGAGATGCCTTTCCCTCCAGGGTGGGCCCTGAGGCAGCGCTCAAAACAGGAGGGGAACTTCAGAGAGCCGCTGGGAAGCCCAGGCTCCAATCCCCTGTCACCTGTCTGCCTTGAGATCTTTTTTGCCAGATCATGTTATTAGCTGCTCAGTTAAAAGGGAACTGTGTTACGTGGAGGGGTTGCTAATTAATAAATCCCTGTCTTCATGTCATCAGTGTGGTGTGCACTTGGTGATTTAATCAGCTAAATTCAGAGCTGAGGGACTGGGGACAGAAGGCAGAGAGCGTAATGAAGGGTAAAACTGGAGAAGACAGGATTTCTGGGGCTTGGCTGGCATGTAGAGGCCAAGAAACACACACTGGAAGATGGTTCTATTTTTTTACTTAAAAAGAAATTTACTTTTGTTGTTATTGCTGTTGTTGCTACTGCTGTTTTCTGGAAGGAGGAGGGGAAAGAAATTACTAGTGTCCATCCTTGAGTTCATACCCCTATATACAAGACGCCTGCAAAGAGACATGTGCTGTTAAATAAAATGACAAGGCAAAAAAGGCTTTAAGATCTGTGCTGTGTAGCGAGACAGCTGCGGTAGCTACAGGGGAAAGACTATGGAGCATAATTTCTCTGCTATAACCTTGTGTGGGCACAGGAAAATGTACCCCAGACCCAAGAGCCCTGGTGGAGGAGGGTAACTGTCACCGGAGGGCTACTCACCAGCTTGGGTGTCTGTGGCTGCCGCTGTCAGAGGAGTGGGCTAGGAAGGCCAGGCAAGCATGAGTGCCCTGGTCAGGGGCTGGAGGGGGAGAGCAAGGCTTCAGCTGGAGAGAGGTCTTCCCAGCCCAGTAAAGAGATGTCAAGGGCTGCCAGGCAGACCGGCGCGTGGTCCGATCTGTGGCAGGTGGTTTGCTCTGGAAACCTAATCAGCACCTCCGAAGCGCACTGTGAGCTGCCTGCCTCCCGCTCCACTAGCAGGAAAGCTGCCCATTATTTCACCCACAGGTACCATCTCCGTTGCCTCTCGTTCGCAGGGCTCTGGCTGGGCTCCCTCAGGAGCCGCTGCGGCTGCTGGGAGAGTCCCAGTGCCTCTTCCAAAGTCACATCAAAATGACAAAACATCACAACGCATTCAGCTCCAGCGGATTCAAACGGAGAGAACTTTTAAGTTTCCACTGTAATTAACCCTATCCTCGTTAAGATAATTATGATCAAGCTTCCTGTCAGAGTTAATATCCCAGCATCATTGCCCGTGGCTCACACTCTGCCTTCATTAGCTTATAAAAACAGCGGCGCTAAACAGGCGGCCTCGCCCTTTGCAAGCCCGGCCAGTGGCTGTGAGCCCTCATGGAGGGAGGGGCCTCCGGCCGGGCAGCAGACCCCACAAAGGGGCCACTCCCTGAACCCCAATCCCTTCTGTTCCTGGGTGGGCGCATGCTCAGTGTTCTCCATCCCTGCCCCAAAAGTTAGCCACTCATCAGAACGGGGAAGGAGGGGGGCCTGGACCAGAGCAGGGCTGGGAGGTTTGGGGCAGAAGAGGTTCTGATCTGTGGCGACCCCTTTCTGCCCCTTGCCCAGTAAAAATCCAGCCAGAAAAATCACCAGAGGACAATCCAGAATCCCCAGTTCAAGAACTGCCAATCTTCTTCCTGGGGTCCAGGCTGTGGTAAGAATGAGCTCCCTCTGTCCTCAGCTCCCAGCCTATAGCAGGGATGGTATTTCTGTCTGGCATGAGATGGGCAGGGAAACAGGGAGACAGCTAACCACAGATCCTGAGAAAGTAATGTCTCTCTCTGGAACCAGAGTTGCCTCAAATTCAGAACCACAGGTCGGGACGTTCTCAAACCAACTAAAAAAATAAGATCTCCACTAAGATCTTTACCTAGTCGCTCTATTGTATCTACCTAACTATCCATATACATGTTTTAACTGAGAAAGTGGGGAGGTTATGGAAATTCTAGAGGACCTAGCCCCTATATCTGATGTCTACCACATTGGCTAGTCCCGCAGACCAGCACAGGTCGGCCACTGCCTGCTCTGTAATGGTCTTTCTGGGTGACTCCTGTCTGCTCAGCCCCGAACATAAAAGGATCTCAGTGCAACCTCCATAATACCTGGAAAGTTGTCAAATGCACAGTAAAGTCTCAGTCCCTCTTTGCCAACTGACTACTGCTCAGCCAGGGACCTGTGAGTTGCGGAGAGAAAAGCTGCTGACAGTATCCCCAGGGCAGGACAGAGAGCACGCCTCAGGATGACCGGCCAGGAGCTAGGAGGGCAATCCCTAAATTCAAATTCCTTCAGAGGCCGGAATGCTGCCCTCTCTTTACCCTACGTCCAAGTGTCTGAGCAAAGGAGAAGTGACACTCGGCAAATCTGCACCCGTACACCAGAACTAGTTATTAAACTATTTTAATACTTCCTTACTGGCTAGTCCAAAATTGCAGCTCTCAGTACCCCGAGTGCCCCTCCATGTTACCCTGGCCACTCCCCAGAGCTCCCAGACCTTTCCACAATTCAACAACTAAGTGGTTAAAAGTCTCCCTCACCCTTACTGCCCAGGGCCTCCAAGGACTTTGCTCCAGCCAAGATTTTCCCCATTGCTCAGCGCAGTTGTTAAATAATTTATACATCACCC